TGGTTGGGCGGCGTCGCGTGGTTGCGGCGCTTCTACGGTGGACGGCCGGTGAAGGTTAGGAGGGGCGTGAGAGAGAGGGGGAAGAGGGGGTTTGGGTGATTTGGGGAAGAAGGAGAAGGGTTTATGATTTGGGGATTTTATGGGTTTTAGGGATTTGGAGAGGTTTATCAAGGGAGTGTTCCCTTGTGGTTTCAAGAAACACTCATGTCTTGGTGGTTGGGATTTGGACTTGTAAATAGGAAGTCTAGGGTTCAATTTTTAATGGTGACATTAGGCATTTCTTGATGGCATGGTTTTTTGTCCCTTTCCTTGTTTCGTCCTTTAGTGGGGAAAGGGTTGGGTTGATGGCATAACTTGTGCTTTACCCCGTAGTGGAATTGAAATTCGATCAAAATCTTTATTCATAATACTTTCGAAATAGCTAAGCTAAATAAGTGGTCTTTATGACAAAAAGAGGGGGTGGTTACAAGGGGTGTGACGGTTTATCCCAGACAGAATTCGTTTTCTGGATTTTCTTCTGTGGGATCCGCATGGTCCTCGTCTTCCGGGACTGGGTTTCCATCTTCCGGGACCTCTTCGCTTCCGAGGTTGGCTTGAGTGTGGCTCATAACGAATACCTTTCCAGGAGCGCCGTAACTTCCTTGATGACCGGTGCCCCCGTGTTGGCCCACGGTGGCGGGGCGCGGTCTTTGGGGTCGAGTGCACTGGAAGGCCTTGTGCCCCTCCTCTCCGCAGTTGAAGCATCGCCAGGGGTTGCCTGCGCAATCCTTGCCCCTATGGCTTTTGTTGCATCTCGGGCAAGGGAAGCTTCTTGGATTAGCTTCGTTGTTTCCCAGGGTCGGTCTTTGGTTGGTCAGGTTGTTCGTCCTTGTGCCGGTGTCGTTTCTAGTTCTTTTCACTGGCGGTGCCCCACTTCCGGTGTTTCTTCTTCGTATTTGTTCCTGAACTCCGCGTTGGAGTAGTTGGATCCGATAGAGATTCGCGGCACTGGAGTAAGCCTCGTTGAGGGTCCGAGGTCTGCTTACCACTAGCGCCTTTCGAGCTTCGAAGTTGAGGCCCGACACGAATCTCTCTATCTTGGTTACCTCGGTGGGGACTAGCTCTGGCGCAAAGCGTGCCAGCTCGAGGAATCGTTTATGGTATTCTACGACGGTGGCCGTTCCTTGTTTTAGATGAAGGAACTCTTCGTACATGGATGCCTTCACGTGGGTTGGATAGAATCTCTCTCGTAGTCGTGTCTTGAGGTCCTCCCAATTGAACCCCGGTTCTTGTTGATAAGTGGGTCCCTCGTGGATCCACCAGAGATCGGCCTCGTGCCCGAAGTAGAATGAGGCTATCTCTACGCGGCGTTCCTCCGGGCATTCTACTACTCCAAAAATCTTGTCAAGGGTTCGGATCCATTCTTCCAGGACCGCAGGATCCTCTTCTCCCGAAAACGTGGGTGGTCGGTGATTTGAAACTTGTCGGGCGACGTCTGAGTTTGCGTTTGATGGAGGTGGTGGGGGCCTGTTGTTGCGAAGGGCCGCATCACTTAGTGCCTGTGCGACTTGTGTCAGCTGTCGTAGGGTTTGGGTCAAGGGGTCGTCTGTGGCGGGCTCTGGAGTTCTTGATTGCCTTCTGTTCGGTGCCATGCTATCGTCTTTCTGGTCAGTGTTTATAAGAACGTTAAATTAGAGTCTGACGTACTTCTTATGAAGTGATAAGTGGGGAAGCGTTTTTGAATGAGGAAGGGTAAAGTGTAGGGAAGTTATGTGTAGGTTTCACAATCTCACCGCGCGTCCTAAGATTCCTGAGTCCTATGTTCCTAGGTACCTAGAGTTCAAGCCTAACGTCCTAAAGTCCGGTCTTAAGAGTCTTTTCCTAGGGTCAAACTTGGGCTCTGATACCAACTGTAAATCCCCATATTTTCAAGACATTTTAAGCTTATATAATAAAGGTAATATCTCATTACATCCCAAAGTATATCATAAGTGTACGGGGTGCTATGCCACACCTGGGCTAGAGAACCCAGGTGCACAGGCTGTCTAACTAATATCCATTGAAACACAATGCATAATATGGCACGCAGGCCGAAAGGGAAACTACTCTACATCTACGCTCCAGTTCTAGCGCGCTCCAGTGCTCTAGTCCTCTGTGCCTGAAAGCCAAATATATCTGTTCAGTGAGAGATGCTGGTAACCCACTCCAACGCGTTGAAATACAATACATATAGAGATATATATAGATATACGAAAACCATTTTGAGCATGAAGATATACCCTACGAACACTAGCTTTAAAACCGGGAATGACTCGACAGATAAGGCCAGACACAAGCACAGTTATAACGAGCATATGCAGTTCACAACAGATAAGGCAGATAAGGCAAAGCATAAACAATGATCATAACCCAACATGAACAATCCCCAATATAAATCCCATAGTCACATCCCCCAAGACACTCGTAATCACAACTCGTCCATGTCACAACACATAACACACTTTGTTGGCGCCACAGGACCAATCGCATGCCCATATATCAGGGTCAGCGCATATAGCTCTGACACGGCCCCGCAGCACCCTGCCCCGTATCGCAACACGGAGGGGTCGATCGCAACCGACCGATGAACCGCAGCTCATCATAGTGTTTGATCGCAACCAAACAGTGGACCGCAGCCCAAGAGAATGTCATCTGACCGCAGCCAGGGAAAAGGACGAACCGCAGCTCGTATAGAAACGTTTGATCGCAACCAAACGGTGGACCGCAGCCCAAGGGTATCAATCTGACCGCAGCCAGCTTCTGAACCGCAGCTCAGGATAACCAATCCGATCGCAACCGAATTGGGGAAACACACACATAACACATAGCAAGCACATGCAACCCACATTACACATTAGGAAGGGGGAGAAAACGTATAACAAAACCTATGCGTGATCCATCACTTACTAAGAATAGTCCTAAGGGGTTCATACTTCTTCCACCTAAGTCAACGGGATACCAATTCAACTAGCATGCAATATAATAGACTCATAAACCTACGAACGGTACCCGAAACATCAAACTAGACATAGGCACGATAAACGGAGTCCGTAAGGACACCACGGGGAACGGGGAACATCAAACGGGGAAGCCGGGGTCCCGGGTGGGACAATTTTCCAGCGGGTAGCCGGTGGGTGGGGGCCACCCGCCGGCTGCCCGCCGGATTCTACTGTTCCGGGCAGCTGCCCGCCCGCCGGCCACCCGCTGCCGGGCGGTGTTTTACGGCCATGGGTAGGTGGCGGGTCCCCTACCCCCACCTACCCCCCACTGACTCTTTTCATCACTTTTCGCCCCGGGAACCGTTGTGGAACCCGAAACCATGCTTAGACACTTTACAACGCAATTAACGACAATTCGTAGACAATTAACGGATCAAATACGAGAAACAAACGGCACATAACCTATCATGCTTTTCTAAACATAATCAACACCCAAACATGCGATTTCCCCACCCGATAATCCAATAATAAGATCATACGATACAACCTAGGGTTCTAATCACTTTTATATCAACTAGAATACGGTTCGTCTTCTAATTGCAAGATTCGGTAAGAATAACACATAAACATCAAGAGCATCACACAATTATCAAGAACGACACATAATCATCAAGAACTCCACATAATTATCAAGAACACCATAGTTATCAAGAATCTCCCAATATCAAGATCATCAAGATCCCTCATGGGATCATCACATCAAACATCAATAATAATCATCATATCTCGCCAATACACAATAATATGGGGGAAACCCTAAGGGGGAATCATAGCTATGAAAATAGGTTTTGTTGAGACATGGGTTACCTCTTAGCCTTAATTAATTCCTTGGCTACGAAGGATCTTTCTTTAAGCTTCCTTGCTTTCTTGATTTCTCCTAAGGGGATTCTTGGAGCTCTTTTGAGGTGGTGGGGCGTTATTCTTGTGGGAGGTTCTAGGTGCCTCCTAAGTCCCCTATTTATATATTTAGGAGTCCTAATTAGGAACTAATATTATAGGCTCGCTAATTCTATTCCTTTTGGAACTAAGGATTGGGTTTATATATGAGGGCCCATGGACTATGGTGGGCCTTTTTCCCTAATTAATCATTATGATTTATTCTTTCTCTTGGGCTATTGATTAATTAATTAAATGATTTTTGGGGCCGTAACACGGGGTGTTACATGAAGTCTTACTAAGAATTTCATTCACTAAAGAGGAGATGAAATTCAATAAGAAGGGAAAATCAACCCAAAGTTTACCGACTCCCAAGAAACTTTGGGAAGAATTTGGGAAGTGCGCCCTAAGAGATTGGCTTAGTTGACCAAACTTGGTCAAGACCTTGGACGCATTAAAGAAGTAAGTGTTAAATCATCACGGGAGATTCCCTCAAGATAGGGGAGAAGGATGAAACCTTAGCCTGGGAAGCAAGGTCTAACAAGGATCTTAAAGTCAAGCAAGTGCCAACACCAAGGAAGAAGGATCATCAGTTCGTCAATACGTCGTAATCAAAGCATCAAACCAGAATAGTCACTTGAAGATCGAGAACCCTTAACCCATCCTAGCCGAATTCCCTTCCCTCCCTCGGGAAATCGGCCCCCTCCTTATTTCAAAACCCTTTCTACCCTTCAACCACACTCTTGATCCCCTATTTTAACGATTCCATACAAGGTGGCAACCTCGCACCCTAAGTTGCAACCTTGAAAACTTTGATCCTAATTCCTAAATTCACTTTGTCCTCAGGTTTGAAACCCACTCTCTTAGCCCTTTACACCTAATCGTTCCCAAAAACCCAGCACACATAAACATACAATTATACAGTTTCCCCGTAGAATGCTTTCGCTATAGGACCACCGTACTACTTTGGACGCGTTACCCCCGCAATGATTTCCAAGCTTCGGGGACGAAGCTTCTCGTAAGGGGGGGAGAGTGTAACACCCCGTGTTACGGCCTTCAATCCCGGATTAATTATTTAATTAATCCCGTTAATAATAATTAAATATGATTTAATTCGGTTAGGTTTCCTTTAAATTAATTAATAAAGTCCACCATGAACCGTGGACCCTTGCCTAAATTAGAGTCCTAAGCCTATTAGGAATAAAGAAAGTAAACCCTTTACTATTCATATTCTAATTAGGAATCCTAGACCTAGTTATCTATTAGGAATAAAGGAAGTAGGCCTTTTACTATTCAGACTACGATTAGGATTCCCTTTAATTAATTAATATGGTCCACTATGGACTATGGACCCTTATCCCTAAAATAAGCCCGTAGTCCTATAAGGAATAGAATTAGTAAACTCATACCATTCAGACCCTAATTAGGAGTCTTAAATATATAAATAGGGATATAGGAGGCACCTAGATCTTTCACCACCATAATCTCTCACCACACAAGAAGTTCCAAGAATCCCCTTAGGAGAAATCAAGAAAGAAGAAGGCTTAAAGAAAGACCCTTCATAGCCAAGGAATTAATTAAGGCTAAGAGGTAACCCATGTCTCAACAAAACCTATTTTCGTAGCTATGATTCCCCTCTTAGGATTTCCCCATATTATTGTGTATTGATGATTTGTGATATTATTATTGATGATTGGTGGGATGATTTCCATGGGTGATCTTGATGATGAAAGGTTCTTGATAATTATATGGTGTTCTTGATGTTCTTAATGATTATATGAGGTTCTTGATAGTTATATGATATTCCTACCGAATCTTGATTTTGGAAGATGAATTGTGTTCTTGTTGATTTAAAAATAATTAGAACCCTAGGTTATATCGTGGAATTCGTATGGTATTATTCTTGGTATATTCGGTGGGATTTCGCATGATTGGGTGTTTATTATGTTTAGAAAAGCATGATAGGTTATGTGCCATTTGTTTCTTGATTTTGATCCGTTAATTGTCTACGCGCGTTATCAATTGCGTTCGAAAGTGTCTAAGCATGGTTTCGGGTTCCACAAAGGTTCCAGGGGCGTTTTTGATGATAAAGAGTCAGTGGGGGGTAGGTGGGGGTAGGTGACCCGCTACCTACCCGCGGCCTTCTTGGGCAACGCCGGCAGCGGGCAGCTGCCCGCCGGGCACCCGCTGCCCGGAATAGCTGCCGCCGGCGGGTGAACCCTTACCCACCGGCTACCCGCTGGTTTGCACCCCAATTGGGGATCTTGGCTTCCCCGTTTGATGTTTCCCCGACCCCCGTGGTTTCCCAACGGACTCCGTCTATCGTGCCTATGTCTAGTTTGATTTTCGGGTACCGTTCGTAGGTCGTATGAGTCTTATATATTGCATGCTAGTTGAATTGGTATCCCGTTGACCTAGGTGAAAGAAGCATGAACCCCTTAGGAGTATTCTTAGAATGTGAAGGATCACGCATAGGTTTTGTTATACGTTTTCTCCCCCTTCCCAATGTGTTAATGTGGGTTGCATGTGCTTGCTATGTGTTATGTGTGCATGTTACCCCGATTTGGTTGAGATCAATCGGGCTATACGGGCAGTCGGGTGGGCTGAGAACTATACCAGTTGTCAACCAGGCTGGTAGAGACCGGTCAGGTATATAAATATTATATAGGACTAAGGTCCACTATACGGGCAGTTGAATGGGTTGAGAACCATCCCAACTGTTAACCAGGCTGGTAGAGACTGGTCAGGTATATAAATATTATATAGGACTAAGGTCCACTATACGGGCAGTTGAATGGGTTGAGAACCATCCCAATTGTTAACCAGGCTGGTAGAGACCGGTCAGGTATATAAATATTATATAGGACTAAGGTCCACTATACGGGCAGTTGAATGGGTTGAGAACCATCCCAATTGTTAACCAGGCTGGTAGACACCGGTCAGGTATATAAATATTATATAGGACTAAGATCCACTATACGGGCAGTTGAATGGGTTGATAACCATCCCAACTGTTAACCAGGCTGGTAGAAACCGGTCAGGTATATAAATATTATATAGGACTAAGGTCCACTATACGGGCAGTTGAATGGGTTGAGAACCATCCCAAGTGTTAACCAGGCTGGTAAAGACCGGTCAAGTATATAAAGATTATATAGAGCTGCGGCTCATCGGTCGGTTGCGATCGACCCCTCCGTAGTGTGAGATGGGGCAGGGTGCTGCGGGGCCGTGTCAGAACTATATGCGCTGACCCTCATGTATGGGCATGCGATTGGTCCTGTGGCGCCAACAAAGTGTGCTATGTGATGAAGTATGGATGAGTTGTTGTTATGAGTATCTTGTGGATGAGACTATGGGATTTGTACCGGGGATCGTATGTGTTGGGTTATGATTATTAACTGTGCTTATCTTATATGTCTTGCCTGTTGTAAACTGTATATGCTTGGTATAACTGCTGTCTGTGCTTAGCCCTATCTGTTGAGTCTATCCCCGTTTTAAAAGCTAGAGTTTCGTAGGATATATCTTCATGCTTCAAAATAGTTTTCGTATATATATATATATATATATATATATATATATATATATATATATATATATATATATATATATATATATATATGTAATGTATTTCAACGCGTTGGAGTGGGTTACCAGCATCTCTCGCTGAACAGATATATTTGGCTTTCACTGGAGCGCGCTAGAGATTCGAGGCGTAGTGTAGATAGTTTCCCTTTCGGCCTGCGTGCCATTTACATTATTACGAAATTTAGTTAGTTAGCCTGTGCATCTGAGTTCTCCAGCTCAGGTGTGGCATAGCACCCCGTACCTTTATGTTCAACAATGCTCTGTTTGGGATTTAATAAGAGAATACCTTTATTATATAAGTCTTTAAAAGTTTTAAAATTTCGGGGTGTTACACTGAGGTCCATGTCAACGATTTCTACGGCAACATGATAATGAATGGCGTATCAGACGCCGTAATGTGCAGGACTTTTTACTCCACGCTCACCGGTCGGGCGGCGGAATGGTTCCGAACTTTGTAGCCGGGTTCAATTGCTAATTTCAACACCTTGCCGATCAAGTTCGTGAGGAAGTTCATCACCTCTAAGGTGGTGAGGAAGCCCTATATGTACTTGGAGAAGGCCAAGCAACTTGAAGGCGAGAGCTTGACCGATTTCCTCGTCAAGTGGAAGGCGGCGGTCGGGGAAATCGAGCCAATGGACGACGCCACCGCCACCCACATGCTCCATATTTCCCTCCGATCGGGTTACTTATACCAGGACTTCATTCTACACCCACCGGCCACATATGAAGAGGCCCTTCGAAGGGTCACAGACTATGCCAACGCCGACGAGGCGAACGCCATGAAACACTCGCAGGAGGTCGGGTCTTTGTCCCGTAAACCGGCCGGCCGGGCGGAACATCGATCGGGTGACGACCATCCCCGATCCCCGCACCAGGCCTGGTAAGTTCACGGCCCTGAACCGATCCGCAGCGGAGGCCATGCAGTACGCCCAGTCCTGCAATCTCATCAAACTCCCCTATCCCGATTAAGACGGCCCAGACAAGAGTAAGCACTGTGCTTACCATCGGTGTGCCGGGCATGACACTGAAGAGTGTACCTACTTGCGCCAACTATTGGAGGATTTGCTCAATCTTGGGAAGTTGGACAAGTGTGTGGGGAAGAGAGAAGACACGAAGAAAAATACCGATCGGAGAGACCACCGGCACTCTCATCACCGTTCCGATCGCTCTGATCGTGAAGGACGCTCCGATTGGTCAGGTCAGGACCGGAGAGATGATTGTAGGGATGATCGTCGAGATGACCGGCGGGACCCTAACCCCCCATCAAGCAGCCGACCGGCAAGAAAGCCGACCATCCACGTAATTTTTGGTGGATTGGAGGATGCTTCCCGACAGAGGGATAACTGCCCGGTCGCAGTAGTGGATTCCCGGGACACCAGGAAGAGGCAAAAAATGGAACCCATAACCTTCACCCTCGAGGATCAGCCTAGCAGCGGTGACCACGGTATGGAGGCACTCGTGGTCACGATCGATGTCAAAGGGACGGACGTCCAGAGGGTTATGGTGGACACTGGGAGCAGTGTCAACGTCCTTTATCTGGACGTGTTTCAGAAGCTTGGGCTTGACAGGAAGGAGCTGACTCTGGTCGGTGTACCACTGTCGGGATTTACCGGGGCTCTTATTTACCCCGAGGGAAAAATAATGCTCCCAGTAGAGATCGGCACTTCCCCGAAGTCGATCAAGACGGAGCTGGAGTTCGTTGTGGTCAACCTCCATTGCGTCCACAACATTATCTTGGGCCGACCCGCCATCATGAAGATCGGTGGGATAATTTCAATGCCTCACCTGTGCATGAAATTTCCCACCCCCAATGGGGTCGGCGTGGTCCGAGGCGATGTCCAATCCGCTCGGAAGTGTTACACCCGAGCGGTCAATAGACGTGACTCTGGTTCGTCTTCCCAGGTGAACACGATCGCCAAGGAGGAATCTAAAGACCGGAAGGAACAACCCGAGCCTTCCGAGGAAATAGAAGAAGTTCCCCTATCCGAGGACCGACCGGACAGGAAAATAAAGATAGGCCGGGCCCTCACCCCCGAGCTCCGAGTGGGAGTTTTGGCAATACTCCGAGAATTTGCCGACATCTTTGCGTGGGGACCCGAAGACATGCCTGGGATCGACCGGACGGTGATTTGTCATAAGCTGGCCGTTGATCCCGTAGCAAAACCGGTCGTGCAGAAGACCCGGCACCTCTCATCCGATCACTGCGAGTTTGTCAGAGAAGAGGTCAAGAAAATGGCGGCGATCGAGCACATCCGACCGGTAATTTATCCCGAGTGGGTGGCCTACATCGTTCTTGTTCCTAAGCCCCCAGTTTGGAGGATGTGCATTGACTTCACCGACCTCAACAAGGCCTGTCCGCTCGACCCGTATCCGCTACCGAGCATACACCAAATGGCCGACGAGACGGCCGGGGCCGAGTTGATGAGCTTCATGGATGCATTCAAAGGATATCATCAAATAATGATGCACCATGAAGATGAGAGCAAAACAGCCTTCGTGACCCCGGACGGGCTGTATTGCTACCGAGTGATGCCGTTAGGCCTCCGCAACGCGGGAGCGACGCATCAGAGGATGGTCAATATGCTCTTCGCCGATCTGCTAGGCCGAACGATAGAGGCGTATATTGATGATATGCTGGTCAAGAGTCGGGACCGATCTGACCACACTCGGGATCTCCGGGAGTGCTTCCAGATCATGAGGAAGTACCAGTTGCGGCTGAACCCGACCAAGTGCACATTTGCGGTTCAGACCGGGAAGTTCCTCGGCTACATGATGACTAAAAGGGGAATCGAGCCAAACCCGGCCAAAGTTAAAGCGATTCTGGACATGCAACCACCTTCAACCGTTCGGGAAGTCCAGCAATTGACCGGTCGGTTGGCAGCTCTCAGCCGGTTTCTCTCTAAATTAGCCGAGCGCGCTTTACCTTTCTTTAAGGTATTGCGTAAAGTCAACGGGTTCGTCTGGACGACGAATGCCGAGCGGCTTTCGACGAGCTGAAGGAGTATCTTATGTCACCAATAGTTCTGTCGAAGCCTGAGCTCGGGGAAGAGCTAGACGTATACCTCGCCGTATCCGATCGAGCAGTAAGCGCAGTATTGTGCCGAACCGATCCGGAAGGGGTCCAGCGACCGCTGTACTATGTAAGCCACGTGCTACATGGTCCCGAGCTCCGGTACTCCCGGCTAGAGAAGGTCGTCTATGCCTTGTACATTGCCGCGAAGAAGTTGGCTCCCTACTTCCAAGGTCGAGCAATTCGCGTTTTGACCGATCAGCCGATCGGGCCAGTCCTCCGAACTGCTTCATCATCTGGTTGCCCAGTCAAGTGGGCCAGTCCTCCGAGACCCGCTATCAAAGGTCAAGCCCTTGCAGATTTCTTGGTCGAGTGCACCGCCCGGGATACCCGACCCCCCGAGGTCGCGGATCCCGAGGCTGAGTGGTGGTCGTTGGCTACTGATGGGTCGAGCAGTAAAAAAGGGGCAGGAGGAGGAGTGGTTGTCACGAGCCCGGAGGGATTCAAGGTCTACTTTGCCCTTATGTATCAATTCCATCCGACCAATAATGAAGCCGAGTACGAAGCCTTTGTCAACGGCCTACAGTGTGCTCGGGACTTGGGGGCTGATTACATTCGAGCTAAAACGGATTCCGCGCTCGTGGTCGGGCAGGTTCTCGGGGATTACGAAGTGAACGGAGAACGATTACAGTTATACCGAGACCTGGCCATGGAGAAGCTCACCCAGTTCCGGGGGTATACCGTCCGGCACATACCCCGGTTGGATAATGCCGATGCGGACATCTTGTCCAAATTGGCTCAAGATGCCCCGGAACACATGTCGAAGATCGCTCGGACTCTGGTGATCCCGAGGCACAGCATCCACCGTCTGCCGGTTAATCCAATCCAACCGGTAGAAGATAATTGGATCACCGATCTGAAGGACTTCCTTGAGCACGGTCGACTCCCAGACGACCCTCAACGTGCTCGGAAGGCAAAGCTTAGAGCCCCGAGGTTACAAGTTTTGGACGGTCGTCTCTACAGGCGGTCGTATGGAGGCCCTCTTATGCGTTGCTTGACCGCATTTGAGGCCGATTTGGTCATGAAGGAATTGCACTCGGCATTTGTTCTTCACATCAAGGAGGCCGATCCTTAGCTCGTCGAATCATACTGATCGGGTATTATTGGCCGTCCCTCCAGCTAGACTGTGAGAAGTTAGCTCGGGAATGTGAGACGTTTCAATTATTTGCCCGGATGCCTGGACGACCGGCTACCGTTTACCAACCGGTCACGACTGCAATTTCCTTCGCTAGGTGGGGGGTAGACATTTTGGGACCCTTCCCTGAACTCTCCAGTCGGAGAAAGTTTGTAATTGTCGCCATTGATTATTTTTCCATGTGGATTGAAGCCGAGCCGTTGGCCACGATCACCTCTCAGCAGTGCGCTCGGTTCCTATGGCGCAATGTGATTTCCCGCTTTGGTGTGCCCGTGCATCTCATCAGCGACAATGGCCGCCAATTCGTAAGCCAGTATTTCCAGAACTTTTTGGCCACGATCGGGACGACTCACGTCTGGTCGTCAGTGGCTTACCTGCAGGGAAATAGACAAGTGGAGAATGCCAATCGAACGATTTTGGAAGGTCTGAAAAAGAAGCTACACTCGACAGGTCGTAGTTGGGCCGATGAGTTACCATATGTTTTGTGGACTTATCGGACGACCCCGAGAGAGGCTACTTTGGAAACCCCTTTCGCCCTTGTCTACGGAGCAGAAGCCCGACTCCCGATCGAGGCTTGGAAACCGAACGACCGAGAACGAACTTACAATGCAGAGGAGAATGAACACTCGATGGTCGTGGATCTCGATGGGGTCGAGGAAAAGAGAGAGCTAACCGCTCGGCGTATGGCTGAGTACCAGAAGAGAGTCAAGAGTTCAAAGGACATTCGGGTCAACCCTCTATATTTTCAGGTGGGAGATTACGTTCTACGTCGAAGGGAAGCCAGTCAACCTTTGGAAGGTGGGAAGCTAGATCAAAATTGGGAAGGGCCGTACATCATCAGCGCAGTGGTGCGGCCGGGAACATACCGACTGGAGACAACGACCGGTCGGGTAATCCAGGGGACTTGGAATTCCGAGGACCTCGTTATGTTTAGGCATTAGCCTATTTTTTGTAATTTTAGATGAAATGGGGGCTCGACCTGCGAGTTGGCCTTGGTCGTCATTTGTTTTTGGATTGTAAATATTTCGTCAATCGCCTACGAGCGGGTAAGTTTAATGTATATACGATCGGTGATTGCTCGACCGTTTGCACACGGCGGCCCGATCGATTATTTTCCCATTACCTTCGTTAAACGCAGGTCAAGTCAACATCACGTCACCTCAACTGGGCGAGTCCATCGACCGGTCACATGCGCTTCTCTTCGGCGGACATTTGGGTCACGCCACCGATCGGGAAAGCCAGAGCTCCCAGCATAATTCCCCGATCCGTCCAACTTATTTCCACTATCGCACCAACTCGTGCCTCGGGGGCACAATAGTGTGGGGGCTAGGATGGAGGAAGTGTTGTAGGTCCGTCGCTCGGGAACACCCCGACCGAAGAGGCTTACTAGTTTTCAAAAAATTCGACAAGGCCAGGAGATCGGGTAAACCTGACCGGGCAGGCCAGCACAACGTCGAAATTCCGGTCGAAAGATGCACGACTGGGTCGTAAGGCCACGAGGTTGGGCATCAGACCGATCAGAAGACGCATGACCAGGCCATAAGGCCGAGGGGTCGGATGTCGAACAAATTATATGAGGCACGACCGGGCCAGGAGGCCGAAGGGTCGGGCAGTGAGTGTGTCAGAAAATGCATGACCGGGCCATAAGGCCGTGAGGTCGAGCGTTAGGTGTTCGGCGCATGTGTAATTGAAAGTAAAAGTGCAACAAAGACGACTGATGCAAGTTGGACAAAAAATTAATTTTATTAATGTAAAGCCTGCCCGGTACAACACGGGACCGGGCTCCCGATCAGTTTCATTACAAAACGAAGAAGCTAAGTCTATCACTTCTTCGAAGGCTCCGTTTTGCTCGGGGTGGCCGCAACAGTACCGCTCGGCTCGGGCGTATCATCTTTGGGGTCGAACGGAGCAGGACCGGGGTCGGGAAGGTCTGGAGGAAGTGTGGTCAAGACCAACTGAAGGTCTTCCCCTTCAAGCGCCTGTTCCATCATCTTTTGCGTCTTCTCGCGCATTTTCCTTTGACCGGCTTTGAAAGCCCAACGCCCGAATGACCAGATCAGCTCCTCACCGACCGGCGTGTCCCGAGCTGCCTTGAGGAACTTGGTGCCCGATTCGCGCTCTTGGAAAAGGAATCGGGCTAATTTGCCCGGATTAGTCAACCGGGCTCTCAAATTCTGCGGCTTCCCCGGTCGCCTTTTTGATGGCCGTCTTTAGTTCGGCAACCTCCCCGATCGCCTATTGAGCGACCTTGTCGGACAGCTCCCGGTCCTCCCGGCTCTTCCTCAGGTCCTCCTTGGCTTTTGTCAATTCCGCCTGGAGGTCCTTGATTTCTTGTAGAAGCCGGTTGGCGACCTTTTTCAGAGCGGCGGCCTCGTTGGCTTGTAGGGCTCGCCGTTGTAGCAGCTGGGTCGCTCGGGAAATCTGCAAGGCACATACGATCGAGATTAGCCCGAATGGGTTTACTTGCATAAAAAATTAAGAGAAGGAAACGTTTACCTCAGCCAGGTCGTAGCCGATCTTCTCGGCCACCTGGGTCGGGGTCAGCTTCCCCAAATCTTCCTTGGCAGGCCCGGCGTTGCCTATCCGGGCAAGTATGGACGAGCCGTCCTTGCTTCCCCGGTCGAGGGGCTCGGGCTTCGCTGCTCCCGTCGACGCTTCAGGCCGCCACTCCCGGTCACGCCCTTCTCGGGCACCTTTTCTTTGCCCTTGGCGACTGCCACTCGGGCAACAAGGACATCAGACGCGTCCACCACATAACCTTTGGCGTCGTGATGGTTGAGGCGCCCACTGATCGGGCCATCGCGATGTCCTTTTCCCCGACCGCCTTTTCCCCGGCTGGCTTGGTCTTTGGCTTCTTCTTGCCAAGTGAGATCTTGGCCACCAGGGGTAGAGGGGTGTTATCGTTTTCAAAACCGTCCATTTCTGCATACAAAAAGAAGAGAGGGTTAGATCGGATTAAAAGACGTTCGGGATGTTAAGTTCGGGAGGAATGGTTAGTGTTAGACCTTTTCCCGGCCGTTTGCCCCAAGCGGGCATCCTTGCAATTGTTACGCCCGCCGGCTTGGGCTTGTATTTCTCGGTCAGATCGTAGACCGGATCGGGTAGCTGGGCCGCTTTGTAGCACTCGGGCGTTTTGAAGATCCGGTATTCGTAGATGTAACACCCCGTGTTACAAGTCCTAAAACCAGTTAATTAACTAATTAATAGCCCAAGAGAAAGATTGAATTATAATGATTAATTAAGGAAAAAGGCCCACCATAGTCCATGGGCCCTTATATATAAACCCAACCCCTAAACCTATCCCTTAGTTCCAAAAGGAATAGAATCAGCAAGCCTATAATATTAGTTCCTAATTAGGACTCCTAAATTTATAAATAGGGGACTTAGGAGGCACCTAGAACTTCCCACAGCAATAACGCCCCACCACCCCAAAAGAGCTCCAAGAATCCCCTTAGGAGAAATCAAGAAAGCAAAGGAAGCTTAAAGACGGATCCTTCATAGCCAAGGAATTAATTAAGGCTAAGAGGTAACCCATGTCTCAACAAAACCTATTTTCATAGTTATGATTCCCCCTTAGGGTTTCCCCCATATTATTGTGTTTGGCGAGTTATTATAATTATTGTTGATGTTTGATGTGATGATCCCATGAGGGATCTTGATAATCTTGATATTGGGAGATTCTTGATAATTATGGAGTTCTTGATGATTATATGGAGTTCTTGATGATTATGTGTTGTTCCTGATAATTGTGTGACGTTCTTGATGCTTATAAGTTATTCTTACCGAATCTTGCAATTAGAAGACAAATCGTATTCTTGTGGACATAAAAGTGATTAGAACCCTAGGTTGTATCGTATGATATCATTCTTGGATTATCGGGTGGTGAAATCGCATGTTTGGATGTTGATTATATTTAGAAAAGCATGATAGGTTATGTGCCGTTTGTTTCTCGTATTTGATCCGTTAATTGTCTACGTGTTGTTATTAATTGCGTTGTAAAGTGTCTAAGCATGGTTTCGGGTTCCACAACGGTTCCCGGGGCGTAATTGTGTGATAAGAGTCAGTGGGGGGTAGGGGACCCGCCACCTACCCACGGCCGAGAAGTCGTCTCCGGCAGCGGGCAGCCGGCGGGCGGGCAGCTGCCCGCCGGCGACCCGCTGCCCGGAACAGTGAAACCGGCGGGCAGCCGGCGGGTGGCCCCCACCCACCGGCTACCCGCTGGAAAATCATCCCCACCTTGGGATCCCGGCTTCCCCGTTTGATGTTTCCCCTTTCCCCGTGGTGTCCCAACGGACTCCGTTTATCGTGCCTATGTCTAGTTTGATGTTTCGGGTACCGTTCGTAGGTTTATGAGTCTATTGTATTGCATGCTAGTTGAATTGGTATCCCGTTGACCTAGGTGGAAGGAGTATGAACCCCTTAGGACTATTCTTAGTATGTGATGGATCACACATAGGTTTTGTTATACGTTTTCTCCCCTTTCCTAATGTGTAATGTGGGTTGCATGTGCTTGCTATGTGTTATGTGTGTGTTACCCCAATTCGGTTGCAATCGGATTGGTTATCCCGAGCTGCGGTTCAGAAGCTGGCTGCGGTCAGATTGATACTCTTGGGCTGCGGTCCACCGTTTGGTTGCGATCAAACGTTTCTATACGAGCTGCGGTTCGTCCTTTTTCCTGGCTGCGGTCAGATGACATCCTCTTGGGCTGCGGTCCACTGTTTGGTTGCGATCAAACACTATGATGAGCTGCGGTTCATCGGTCGGTTGCGATCGACCCCTCCGTGTTGCGATACGGGGCAGGGTGCTGCGGGGCCGTGTCAGAGCTATATGCGCTGACCCTCATGTATGGGCGTGCGATTGGTCCTGTGGCGCCAACAAAGTGTGTTATGTGTTGTGACATGGACGTGTTGTGATTACGAGTGTCTTGGGGGATGTGACTATGGGATTTATATTGGGGATTGTTCATGTTGGGTTATGATCATTGTTTATGCTTGCCTTATCTGCCTTATCCGTTGTGAACTGCATATGCTCGTTATAACTGTTGCTTGTGTCTGGCCTTATCTGTCGAGTCATTCCCGGTTTTAAAGCTAGAGTTCGTAGGATATATCTTCATGCTCAAAATGGTTTTCGTATATCTATATATATCTCTATATGTATTGTATTTCAACGCGTTGGAGTGGGTTACCAGCATCTCTCGCTGAACAGATATATTTGGCTTTCAGGCACAGAAGATTAAGTCACTGGAGTGCGCTAGAACTTAGAAGTAGATAGTTTCCCTTTTTGGCCTGCGTGCCACATTTACGTATTTACGCTTTGAGGATATTAGTTAGTTAGCCTGTGCACTTGGGTTCTCTAGCCCAGGTGTGGCATAGCACCCCGAACGCTTGTATTCATCTTGGGATTTAATAAGATTCTACCTTTATTATAAGTTTTTAAATGTCTTGAAAATCTGGGGTGTTACAGTTGGTATCAGAGCCTAAGTTTGACCCTAGGGAAAGACTCGTAGGACCAGACTTTAGGACATTAGGCTTGAACTCTAGATACTTAGGAACATAGGTCTCAGGAATCTTAGGACGCGTGGTGAGACTGAGAAACCTACACATCACCTCCCCTCACTTCATCTCTCCCTAATATTAAGAAACTCTCCTCCACTTATTACATCAAGGTGAAAACACAAAATAATATCGATCTTTAACCACCAGGATGGCACCCAAGAAGAAACAGACAGGAACACCAAGACACCCTACTCAGGAACTCCTGACTCAGAATCTACAACGCCTTGCCCAAATCGCCCAGGCACTAAGTACCGTCATTCCCCAACCGCTACCAGCGAACGAGAACTTGGAAATCCACCACCAAGTCTCGGCACACCAACCGCCCACCTTCTCGGGAGACGAAGACCCCACGACCCTCGAGGAATGGATTGAGACCTTCGACAGGGTATTCAGGGCAACCCAATGCCCCGAACACCGCCAAGTCGGGATAGCCTCCTTCTACTTCAGACACGAGGCCGACATCTGGTGGGCCCATGAGGGGCCTACGTACGAACACGACCCC